ATGGTGGAACATAAGCATAGCTCTCATAATGGAAATTCGACCTATATCGTTCGATCCGTGGGCCCTATCTAGTTCCCCTTTGAACGCTGGCTTTACAACAAAAATTCCGACGCGGCTAGTCTTCCCTTGTCTTACATAAATAAATGCGGCGGCTCACCTGCTTTCTTGACACAATGGTGCAAGCCGCTCATATACAAAACTACGGTTTGCACGCAAGTTACGGTCCCTGAATCGAGCGCATTCACCAATGCCCTGAATTTATCGCGTCCTAATGAGCACCAAACGTGTCGCACACATGGATAGTATTGACTCTGCCAACATGTATAAGATGGCCCTCCCCAGATCGACCCTCTAATTTGTAGAAAGCGGGCAGCTACAGGCTGGCAGCTTCTATTACTACTAAAACTATTACTATTATTACTAGTACTACAATTATTACCAATACTACTATTACTATCACTATTGCTATTATTATTGCTATTACTATTACCATACTATTATTTCATCCTTCGCAGTGCAGCCTTTGTATCCGAAGCCCTTCTCTCCGGTACAGAGCGCACGGAAGTTTTCTGCCTCGAGATGTCGCATGGCGCAATCAGCTCTAAACAGAAGCCGCACAGCTGCCAGGCCAACTGCTGGGTTCCTGTTAAGGATTATATAGGGGATTATATAGGGATCTTGGAAAAGAAAATGGAAGCTACTATTTATGGTTTACGATTAAGGGTTTATAGGGTTTAGGCAAAAGACATATACGCAAAAACATGAAAACTGCTCATAAGAGTAGTTGAGTCCAAATAATTGAGCACCAGCCCAGACTAAGCCGCCAGCAGTCTTTGGAACTGTATCTGCCTCAGCATGTCGGGCTTATAGGCACATATAGGATTACAAGGGCCTAGGCCTTCAGGAATGGAAACCGGCAATGGAAACTACAATGCTAGTATAACTATTGCTATTATTACTAGTACTACAACTATTACTATTACTACTATTACTATCACTATTACCATTCAGCATTACAGTATGCAGGGGCTAGTATTTCAGGCAGTGAGGGACGGGTGTGGGTGGCTTCAGAAGGATTGTAGCTCCTTCCTCAGGTTGAACCCTGTTTTCTCACACCTGACAACTTCCCCAACTCTGCGAGCGGCACACGCGCAGGATGCTGGGATTGCTTGTTTTTGGGCATCGCCCTTTGAGTCAAGAGCAGAATATGCAGAAACGCATTAGAAGGGGGCAAATGGACAGATTGAGAAGTAGATAGATAACTAGATAGACCAGTGTTAGAAGGAGAGATTTCTGGGCTTGCCGAAGTTGGCGGTCTGCATGAACGGTGGCTGTCTCAACAGGACGTTCGTAAGTGCATCAATGGTGCCTTGAGCTCAATCTCGATGATGCCTAGCACCTTGCCATCGCACTCGATCTCCAAGAAGCAGGTCGGGTTCGATGGATTTGGAGGGCCTCAATGCCCCAGTCTAGCATGGTACTATGGTGAGAATATCTCATGTTCGGAAGCTGGGGTGGGGTTACTGCTAGGTAGACTGTCATTCTAGTAGCAGCGTGATCAGCTCCAAGCCCACATATTATGAAATCAATGCACTACACGTCTGTGACTTGGAGCTACTCCCATCTAACTTGGACCGGATGGTGCATTGGAGCTACATCACCACAACCATGAAGGAAAACCTTGAGCTGCTGCCGCCGCGTGGCTTTTACAATTGATACTGCCAAGGCTGTGGCTCATCTTTGGGTGCTGATGCTCATGCTGCGACTACTGCCACCAAGACAACCATACTTCTCATCAGCTTAGCACCTCTTGCAGCAACTGAGGCTGTCACCCAAGGGCGGCTGAAACTTCTCGTCCACTGTGGGATCGACTACGGGACCTACCATGCCCCGAATTGGGACTCAAGGTTTAGGATGCAAAGCCTTGAATTGCGTCTAGTCTGCAATGTCTTGCTTTTCAGGGAACATGCGTTGAGCACTTGGAGAAGTCCATGCAAGAGTCCGTTCCCAATCCCCCTTAAACTTCGATCCACTTGAGAATGACAATGATGCATCTCCACTCAAGTAGAAGGATGATGCATACCCAACCTGCCCCAAACTGCAGTTTGATGAACGCCTCAAGTGCAACGATGCTGTGTGATACCGTGTCACCGTGTAGGTGGCTCCCTCCCCATGGTATGCCGCCCTCCCTGACCCCATCCGCATGCCGGCCCGGCTGGCACCATCTTCGTGACCGTTGTCACTCTGGCATCTGACTCTATCCCTACCGGTCCAAGAGCACACATACTGGGGTTTTAGGTACCCTAACGTCATTATCTGGGTACTTGGGCCCTTACATTATATACAAGAGCTTGAATATGCAGACAATCACACAATCAGGCAGTTTGGACCACAATCCCTGAGACTGGGATCAGTTTGCAGTTGGATGCTTCAAAGATCCCAAGATCAAGCCTTGTAGATCCTTTTTAAACCTCAAGAGCAACACTCACTAGGAAAGACAATGCATCTCTCTATGCATATATATATATACATATACATATGTGTGTATATACGTGCATGTACACATCTATCTGTGATTCACGCTGGCTAAGAAAGTGGAAGTAGCTTTATGCCCCCATGCCTATGAATCTACACATGCGTGGCACGCTTCCTTATCTTCCTCAAAAGCCTCCCACCCATCCGCACACGCAGGAGAGATGGGGGACGATGCTAGTGAATACCTTATATCATCTCGATAGATCCTACCCAACCCCCAAACAGCCCAAACAGCCGGCACAGAGGTGGGGAGGGTCCCCATTCCCAAACCATGGGGTTGCGTTTGGGGCGGCCTCAGCAACACTACACAATGTCTTTCCGATCTGAGCCAAAAAACTCATTGGCCGCATGAGGACTACAATCTGGTGCCCGATCCCTGAACTCTCAAGTACCCTTCGAGTATACACTTGAGGCCAAATTGGTTCCTAGAGATTTTATCCGGAAACCAAATAAATATCTACTAGAGGGGCATTGCAGCAATAGGGGTCACTCACTCTGTCATTCTGCAAATCCTTTTTATCCTTCTTGTGGGAACCACAGAAGAAGGACCCCGAACTGTAGCAAACCCCTATTTTTGCCTTGAACCCTTTGCCTACGGAGGCACTTGGGCCCTCCTGAGGCAGCCGCCTGCTGCGTTGACGCAGCCCATGGCTTTCAAACAAAGGGTCCCTTGGCCTGAGCCCCTGAGCCCTACAATCCAACGATGAAGGGTGAGGGGAGATAGAGGGTGTAGGGTTTAGGGCTTAGAGTTCAAGAATTGGGGCTTAGGGCCGCAAGAATATCTTTCTGACTTGGAGTAGGGTTGGATGTTTCGGATGTAGATTTCAAGTTAAAGGCAGTTTTCCCAGGGAATGGCCTCAGGATAGCTGCCCGAATGTCCGAGATAAGTTCACTGCTCTGCTATACACTTACTGCATAGTCCTTGCGAGATCCCTACTGAGGTCGCTCATGACAGGCCCATTGTGCGAGCCCGCAACGCTAGAGGGTTCAAGACCAACGCCCTCCTACCAACAAATCTCCGTCGAAAGCCTCTAACACAACTTGACAAAGAACCATGCTGCCGAGCAGACAATTGCCTATGCTGTGCCGGAATGTGGTACTCACAATATTCAAATCTGAGCGGGAGCAGGGCGTGATGACAGGCGAGATACCGGCCCTCAAACTGTCATCTGCAAGCAATCACTCGGCCGGATTTAGCATGTTCTTGTCAATGAGTGGTTGCAAAGGATAGGTCGCCCAAGGCAGAATCACAGACACGAATCCTACTTTCCACGCTTCAAACCCTGTAAACCTTGTATGCTGCCTTCCCAATAAATAAGGAACTCCTTGAGCCCTGAACCCCTGAAGCTTAAACCCTGAACCCTAAATCCTGAACCCTAAGAAGCTGAACCCTAAAACCTGAACCCTAAATCCTGAACCCTACAAAGCTGAACCCTGCCCTTGTTTTTCCAGGGACAGCAAGCTGCACGCTTGCGACTCACGCCTGTGCCTAAACGCGTCGCATCCCTAACCTACGGGCAAATCATTGGTAGTTGATGTTAACATAGGTAATGGTAATGGTAATAACTCATAGTAAAAGGAATATAGTACTATAGTAATATAGTGCGTAATATAGTAGTATAGTACTATGGTGATATAGTAATAGCAATCGTACTGGTAATGATACAAGGTAATAGTAAGAGTAAGAATAAATGCGGCTTTTGAGGATCCTGATGAGGAGAGCGGCAGCAAGCTTTCAAGTATACTAGGGAACCTTGATTTTATGTAGAATTAAAACTTTCTGGTAATCCCTATACAATAGATTCCCCTATTCCCGACTAGCCCCCAGTGGGTTAACGGATGATATCCATCATAAGTGCCATTGAGCCCAAGGACCTTGGTCCCCAAAAGCTGCCAACGCATCGCATACCGAAGATAGGAATAAGGGAATATATTATATGAAGGTTATATAGGAACAAGAAGATGTAGTACGTAGAGATTATGCAGGGGTTTTATTCCCTTATTCCCTACGAACAGCCAGTAAGTTAAGATTATCAAAAATACGGACGCTTCTGTGGTTCCCATTCTCACGCAGCCCCAATAGTGTATATACGGCACCCAAAGAGAGACCATAGCTCAACATCTTCCATACAGGGAATGCCGGAACATGTCCTAGGAAAGACAAAGTGAGGTCTGACATGACTATGACACAAGCACCTTAGACCACGACTACAATACTCTTACTATTGTACCATTACTAGTATATTATATATTACTATATACTATCACTATTACATTATTACTGTTATACTATTACTCTTGCTATTATACCCTATTACTATTACTACTACGATTACTATTACTACATGACTGGTTGGCCTTATACATATTTACGCGGGTCTGAATGCTGATTCCTTCTCTTCTCTACTCTCCAGGGACCCAACACCTAGTCTTTATAAAGCCTGGCGCGAAAGAGAAAACATCGACTGACAGCTAAACCTTCTAGTTACTCGACAATGATTTGCGGTGATCTACGGCTGGCCTTCGACGCTGTACAGGCAGCCCTAGTCGCTTTGCGACTGTCGCACGTTTCCTGTACTTCGCCTTTCCGGCCTGTGTACTGCCGTGATATTAGAATTGGATCGGACACCTTAACGTTTGAACCCACGTGCTTCAAAGACACCCTTTAAATCGGCGCCTTTGAGCTTAAAACAAGAAACACGAAGGTTTCACCAGAATCTGGGCGATTCATCTAGTTTCACATTCTACGACGACATTGAACATGAAGGCAGTATGAAGATGTATTGAGAAACCGTTCATCCTTACACTGGGAACCCATAACAGCGGCATTATGGCTATCATCCCTGATGCAATAAAGGCTTGCAATTCAAGACTACCACACTGCTTTTAAGCTCCATATTCCACAAAACATTCATCACCTACACACAGTCCTGGCCCCAAGACTTTAAACCCAATTACCTACAGTTCTATAGGTTGTACCCATTACTAATAAGGGCTGATTCCTATTGATTGGAGTTACTGCAAACGGGGACACCAATATAGACCCCCAAACACTATAATCCTTATTATCCTTATTATTGGGACCCCTAAAATGGTACCCCTAATTTTGGGAAACCCTAGTCCCTATAATCCCCAGGTTCCATCTCATGTGCCATGTTCTTTTCCATTTGATTCTCCATTATAATAGTTTCAATTGTCTTTGCAATTCCCCAACATAAAGAGACCCCAAAAAGGGTATCCCTAATTTTGGGAAACCCCCAAGTAGACTTGAAACCCCCAAAAACCGTGTCACGGCAGACCACTCGGGCGGGGTAGTCTCAGTGCATCTGCCACGTGTCCCTGTCATCTGTGACTCATCGTGTGATTCAAGCCTATATTATAACACCCAATATACTATAGTAATTTCCATTTTCTTTTCCATTATCCCTATATTATACCCAATATACTATAGTAATTTCCATTTTCTTTTCCATTATCCCCCTAAGGGTCCAAGTACCTAAATGGTATGTAGTTAGGGCCCAAAGCACCTATAGAGGAATCCATTTGGGCCAAAATGATCTATTCTGTCAGCACCGAGTGATAGGGGATACCATCCTGATACACTCCCCCAAACTAACATGGAAACCCATATAGCCCCATTTTAGAGGGACTGTAGTCTTTATAGGGCCCCTTGTGGGTTTCCATGTTAGTTTCCAGGAGTGTACGTGAATTCACTGGGGGCTATGATGCGGCCCAAGCCAAATCTGAATTATGAGAACCGGAATCCCGAAATCTCGAGGCATCTTGCCCGAGATCTGGCAACGTGTCAACTGGGCCTGCACATACCCTCCGCAATACTACACTGCCGTTGCTGTGCTTTATCCTGTATCCCACAGGTGGTCCCTTGATTCCAATGCACACAAGCCCCGCAAACCTCTTCTACTTCGACAGCCCTTACAAAAGCCATGACAACCCCCCCCCAAAACAAAAAGGAGCAATCCAACAATCAGATCCTCCAGATAACTCCCAGTTGTGCCAATAGAAGACAGTCGAGCTGTTTGCGTAACCTGTTTTTGGTGCGTCTCTCATTCAAGCTACGCTCTTTTCTAGCCCTGTAGAGGTCAATTAACAAGTAAGTTCATGAACCTCCTAATAATCCCAAGGTCCGTAGAAGTGGGCGTACAGCTGATGGACAAACTCCGCGCTCTGTCTATCCTTCAAGCCCTACACCCCTGAACCCTAATCCCTGAGCCCCGCGCCATGAAAGGGATCTGACCCACAAGGCCCAGATGGAGCTCTTAAATTGAAATGCCATCTCCCCATGCATCCGCTGTAATATGATGATGAATGTTGTGGGGCTTCCCTTAACCCTTAACCTGAAACCCCGAACCCCAAATAGTAGTTTCCATTTTTCCATTATCCCAATATAACCCCGAACTAACCCTAACATCAACCCAATGGGCGACACTGCTGTTCTGAGGTCCCTGGCCAGGAGCTGCGAAGGTACCGCCGCCATGCTGAGCTCGTTGCACAGCACCACAGCTGTCACCGGCTTAGCAGCCTCAGCTGAGGAGTGATTTGGAAAGGATGTGAACTCCTGACAGGGGGTTATATAGGAGATTATGTAGGGGATTTTATAGGGGAGTTTTTAGGGGCTTTTAAGGGGGATACTAGGAGTTTAGACTTTAGCTCATGTAAGAATGAAGGGTACAGTACAATGTTGACAAGACGCGTGGCGTATGTAGGGCCAGTGCTTTGGGTGTATGTGGGTGAGTGGAAGGCTGGGCGACCGCCAAGTCTACGACGGTAGGGCTTTGGCGCATGATGGTGGAGCTGGTTTCAACTCCAAGCCGCCAGCTTCTTCATCACAGCAAGCAACATCGGTGTCAGGATAGCCCAAAACACGTAGCAGTAACTCTGATGTACGGGTTGTGGAAACTTGAGGGATCTCATTATTGCGGGAAGCATCCAGGTCCTCATGCAAAATGCTTGCCAGCTTCCTGCATCATTCTCTACGACATGACTCATAGCTTCAATGTGACCAAATGGAGCGGCAACAATGGGTTCTATGTTGCAGTTCCGAATCCCCATTCGGCCCACTTTGGGATTGGATGTAGATTGGGTCAGCAAATCTCAAGGCAGCTGTTATAGGGTCTGCCGGAGCAAACGCTTCATTCCAAGAGATCTATCCGAAGAAATGCCAGCTTAGTTTTCGACACCAGCAACAACCCCACCAGCCCCCAAAAGCATACTGGGCTGAGGAATCATAGTAAGAAGGTTGTTGGGGTAGCGTTCTGGTTTTGCCATATCAAATTCCAGAAAAAGACATCATAACTTCTGCAGCTTCCCTTGGTATCAAACCCCAAGCAGAAAGCCTTGAGCCGGGGAGCCACAACACCTCCGCCATTGGGGGCCTCAGGTAACCAGAAAAGGCAGATTGCATTTGAGGTTGGCTTAGCATGGCAAACAAGAAAGGCTCCCTTTTTTGGGGCCCCCGTAGCGAGGATTAGAATACAGTACTGTCTGTATTGGGTTCCCCCGAATTATGCAAGCCTCCATATCAACAATCTTATATTTTGCACGACTCAGCTATGGCTTTCCTTTGTCCTACAAAGATTTTAGTCAACCGTCGTTGTAAATGTTGATATAGTCACGTCAGGATTGCATGCAACCCTTTCTGGTTTTTGCTTCCGGACGAGGAAGCCGGTGTATATAGACCCCTCTAGTGAGGGCTCTCACCTGGCTATAGCCGAACAGCCACAAAAGGCGAAGCCTCACCGGTGTGCTGTCCAAGTCGCTTGTCCGGGCCACTGCAGCGCAAGCCCCAATAGGCCACCGCAGCTGCAAAGACCTGCGGCATGGAGGAGCGTAGGCAATTGCCCGCGGCAGAACGTCGAGAAAGGAACCAGCAGTAGCAGTGGCATCATTGACGGTGCAGCTGGTCGTACTTAACGAATGAGCTGCCTCAGAACCGTGCATACCTGTCACGCTTTCTCGAACCAAAGAAAAACTCAGGAGACTCGCATCAGACAACCCAATTGTGGGGAGCTGGGAGCCGTGTATGTAAACATACTGATCTACTTGCAGGGTCAATGTGGACTTCAGTAAGTAGCTTAATAATGGGGATAATTGGGGTTATTATCAAGTAGCTTATAATGGTTCTTGACCTACTTACTAAGTCCCCATGACCCTCCAAGTAAGCAAACTCCAATATCACTCGCGGTCTTCACTTCTTACGTGTTGCTAGGATGCCCCTCAGGAGTCCTGTTGAAGGAGGTTTTGCTGGAAGAGGGAACGGATCGTTGATGTCCCCAAGAATATTGCTATACGTAGTGAGGTGCATATATTCGGCCCAGAAATGCTATGAAAGTTGCTACCCCATGAAGCAGTTAAGGATGTAGAAGCCTCACCACGGTAGCTGGTAGCAGACCACTTACAGCACCCTGACCAAGCAAGAAGAAAACCATTGCGTCGAAGGGGCTACATGGATGACAAAGACACGACAAATAATACCTCAGAAATGACCGCGGATTTTGCTAGGGTTTAGGGTTTAGGCTCAGACATACGGAGAAGGAATGTTGACAGAATGGTTCATAAGCCCGAAGATCGCCGAAGCTCAGAACCTCAAACCATTCACCCTGATTGCACAAACACCAACCCCCACCCTCCCAAGCCCCAACCGCTAGAGGCACTCAAGTCATGGCCCAGACCTCCTTGAAACACCCCCCCACCCCCCACTCCCAGGCCTGAATTCCGACCTAACTACATCCTGAAGCCTTAACCTACGCCATGTTGCCTACAGCTTGTCGACCACCACCCTCAAGCTCGATGACCTGGCATGGAGTTTATCAGGTTTAGAGCTCATATGAAAATATCTCATGGGCGTTCCTGAAACAAGGATGCCCTTCCCTGGGGATATGTAAGGATGATTATGTGGAGACTTCAGGGATCTTTTCAGGATTTGCGCACGGCTGATTGCGACAAGCTCGCTCATATTCCGCAAGCGGGAACGCAATGATGTTCACATATTGCCCGCATATAGGTCCATCAGTCACCCTCATTTTACAAATTTGGAAGCTGCAGTAGTAGCTAGATCTGACTTGAAGTAAAGGGTTCAGGGATCAGAAAGTCAGGACGTACAAGCTGTGGGCTTTCTGGGCTACTCTTACAGCCCTGTGCTTATGAGAAAACATAGTTAAGCAATGCAATATGTACGGAACTATGCATGCACACGTATATTAGCACATATGTGATACGTGCATGCGTGCCCGCGGATTACAAGTTACGAGGTTTCGGGATTCGGGGACAGGCTAAACGATTGAAGAGCACCGAGTTTCGGGGTGCCTCAAAGGCAAGATGCCCACACAGAAGTCCTTTAAAGGATTGAACGAGATGGTGTAGGGTCCTCTCAGAGCCGTTCGGAAACTCCGTTTGTAACTCGTTGTAGGTTTGCCACCATGCAGGGACTATGAAGGGACTATGAAGGGACACAGCAAACACCTAACAGCGAAAAGTAGTCAGGCAGATCTACATTGAACATATAGATCTTTCTGGCCGCTCTGCCTGCTGGTGATTCTACTGGCAAGTAACTAATCATTACAGCTAAGCTCCAAAGGCAAAGACCAACCACGGCTGATTCTAACATTCTGCAGCCCCGTCAGGCATTGTCTCTGATTCCGGAACTGACGTGCTGGCGCCGCCAAGCCCACAAAGCCTTCTGACAATAGCTGCGCAAAACCCCCCTCCACCTAAACAATTCTAACTGCAACCTCAACGTTGACACTTTCAAACTGCGCATTCCTTGCGTAAATTCACGCACTCTCCTTCTCCTGGCCCCTCCCTGTAGCTGTTGGGTAATCCCCATAACGCGCCCTACACTATCCACACAAAACGAGGTTACATGCGAGATTACGGTAGGTATTCAGGAGATCACCGTATGAACTCTGCGTCGCAAAACCTCAAAGCTCTAAACCCTAAATCCTAA